ATATATATATATATATAAATATTGCAAGATTCTTTTGATTTATGAAGAAATAATACAAAAGTATTGTATTTAAAGGAGTGAAAGCTTGAAGCGCTCTTATTGATTTCTACTTCCTTGTTACAAAGAGCATAAGCCTGAGTGAAACAATTGCAAATTATAACAAAAGAAATAAATTGTAAATTATACAATATAAAAATAACGTTGCAAGGGGTACTTGTGTAATCTCAAAAAAAAATCTTACCATTATCATAATCTGTGGATAATATATTATAATAAAAAATATGCTAGCAAAAAGTTTATATGATCACTAATCTCCATAAGAGACATACAAATGCATGCCATTATCAGGAATATGTATAAATATATTCCACTTATGAGAGCCCCGTTAAAAAACCTAAAACAGGTGCTAAACATTGCATGCAACTTATAATTTTCAAAGGTCTCACAAGCATCCGTTATCGATTACAGAAATTTTGCCCCCCCGCCATCTTAATTCTCCATTTTACGCATTTTTTATGCATTTAAATACAAACACCCCTGAAACGTCTCATCATTACACGGCACGTATCATCATACACTCGGTCGACCTTGAGATTCAATTTTCCTCACAAGAACATTGTACTCCGCATTTTTCTCTTGTTTCGCCATAAAATTAAAAATCCCACCAGTCGCTAATTATGCCATCATTTCCAACGCTCTTTATAATCACGAATCACAAGTTACGACGAGTTGAAACGCGAACCATGACACGCCGTTGTCGTTATTAATAGAATGGACGTTCGAAGTTGTGAAACGATCGCCGCGCGCAGCGGCCAAGTCCACAGACTTTTGCCCGCGATGGCGTTCGTAGGTGCAGCACGATCACGGTCTCGGCGCGATCGCTCGTGACTTCGAGAAGAGTTAAATTGGAAGCAACCGTAGGGTGTAATTATAAATAGAGCGAACCCGCGGTTCACGTACAGGAACTAAGACGCGCACAGTGGTCCGGAACGGCGTTTGAAGATGTTTCAGGAATATCGAGAACGTAATTATCCCGTAATTACCGAGCATGCTCTTGACTCTTGAGTAGCGTCGTTCGAGGAAAGAGAGGGTAGTCAGTGGTTGGCCTTGTGCGGTAATTGTACTAATTATTACCGCTCTCCTCACTCCCTCCCCTCGCTTTTGCCTTAGCGGTTGCTTCCTCCCCCGGCAACCCAATTACCCTCCTGGCCCGTGCGCCACTCAGAATTTACGGAGACCAGATTTGAGAGGTCCTTAATTCTCGGAAAAGAAATTTTTGCTCGGCGTTATTTTAATAAACTGCATTAAATTCCATACTGATTGGCCCCGATAGTCATCGAATATTTCGAAAATAACACGTGAATCAGATGCATTCGAAATTTCCCTATCTTATCTGACCTACTAAGCAAACCTCAGCTTTTAATAGCGTGTGTAAAATTGTATCGAAGTTAAACAGATGAATTCGTTGAGACAAGCGATAATATGGGGTTTCTTTGTGATATCGGAAGATATTTACAGTGTATGTGCGCTGGTAATAGGTCGTTATGAAAATTGATTAACTAAATGACGTTGTAGTAACAAATTTAAAAAAAAAAAAAAAAAAAAAAAAATATTGTGCGTAGGAGCACCATAACGTATCTACGGTCCTGAAACCACTGACGTGACCTCAGGCGGCGATGCGGAGAACGGAGTACGCGCGGGTTAGGTACAGATATGCAGAATTGTATGAGAAATGTAACCTAGTTACTGTGGTATTTACCTGGGTTTTGTCGAACGTCTCAAGTTGTTCGTCCGCCTTCTGTTTATCGTAAAGTAGCCTGGCGAGGCTTCCATGTGGTCTGTAACTTCTTACGACTCTACTCGTGGGTGAATTCTGATTGACAGCGGAACAGGTAGCCAGATTCCTGACGTCGCAGGTGCACCTTGGAACAGGCACATCCGCACTCGCCATGCCCACGAGGAGCACGTTATGGACTGTCAGTAACAACACACGCATAACATGACGATACTCAACACCGTAATCTCGCGGCTAACACTTTGGTATATGAGCAAGAAAAATACGAAAGATGACGCACTTCGCGTAAACACATCTAGCACGTGGCCATGTTGGCGATGGTGGCGCCGCCTACAGGTTGATTAGCGACCTACGTTTCCCGTAAGCAGCAACAGTCGACGATGTAGGAATGCACGGTAACATCTGGAAAATTTTTCAGGAAAATACGATATTTCAGCTGCGTATTTAATATTCGTATTCAAAGTTAATTCCATTTTCATAATTCGTATTCGCAAGAGTGAAAGAACACTTCCCGAATAAAATATTTCGATAAAAACTTAAACTTCGGTTTAACGAACGCTGCGTGATAACAGGTCGATAAAATTGCAGAGCTGTACCATTGCGAGACTTTCGTAACTGTTACTCGTGAATAACTTTTTATTTTAAGTGATCTCTGAAGAATGATTTTCAATTGTTTATATTCGTTATAAATGAATATGTTTAAGTACTCCTGGAATAATAATATAACAAAAAAAATATATATATATTATACCAATATCTTTCGATTTATCTTTCAATTTCTTATTATTTTATAAAAAATACGAAAGTTTAATCAAAGTTAAATATCGATTATGTACTATTGCAACGCAACCTAACCTAACTCAATTGTCCTTTCCTAATTTTAACTTTACACGATTATCAAAATAGTTCAATATCGACTCAACAAAAATGAAATATACGATATTCGATTTTTATCTCAATTAATAATATCGACTAATGCATAGTTACAGACTTTTAACAAAGATATCTAATAATAATCGTTACACGTACCGACTAAAAATTTAAGTATCGATAATATCCACAGGTCAACGTACCAGCACGTTCCACGGTGCGTTTACAATCATATTTCACTTTTTTAAGTTGCACGGCTTAATTTACACCTAACCATGATTTGAATCTCATTTCAGTGCAGTTCTTAATAGGCACTAAAGTAAGCGGGAAAGAGAACACGGGACTTTTTTACCAAGGGAAGGAGACAAAGATAGCAGAAGAATAATGATCGAGAACGAGAAACTACGCGAGCGTGGAGGCGAGAAAGAAAAGGTTGGAGAAGAAAAAGACGGCGATATAGACAGAGGTTAAAGAACGCGTCGAGGTGAATCGCGAAACATCGACGTAGCTCTTGACAGTGGACATAAACATTCCAGTTCGTCTTGTGGGTCATAAGACATATTTCCTTGACGATCGTGTATTCTGATACCATTCTAGTTGCTTTATAGCTGACATTCTTGTTATTGATAGTCATCACGTTTTACGAACTAGTTACAAATACTAGAAATCGCATGATTTATGCTTATACGATGCCAACTGAATTTTCTAGTAATTTTTGCGCGCACGCTAGATGGCGAAGTTAATGGTGTTTCTTTACAACTGCTGATGGGTCCCATGCATATAGTACATATTACACGCTTCTAGACATAATTTTTTTTCGTCGTTTTACCCTAAAGGAAGTTACCAACACGCGTAAAAGTTTTACGCGATATAAATACGGCTTAGAGAAAATTTCTTCTACACCAGAGTGCACCGATGAATATTTTAAATACCATATTGACGTAGCGCGCGCGTGTTACTTCCTCCCTCGTGTTCCCCATACCGAGAACTGATAATTCATTAATTTATGATAAGCTAGCCTCTCGCCTACGACCTACATCCTCCCCTCCTCACCCCATAAATCATTTTCGCCGCTGACATTAATTGCACGCCGCCCCTCGTTACCGGGAGAAATGAGATTTTTTTAATTGGCAAATTTTTCACCGTCGCTGACACTGTGACACCCTCTCCTGGGTCTTTCATTTCTTTCGCCACTACGTCACGAGGAAGAATGTATATATTTCGAACATTATGTGATATCGAGGCCATTAAAGTACGTTTAATACTAGATATTCTTTCCACTGTACACGCTTTCTTATTATCTATTCTATGGTACAACGTACAATTATATTTCATTATTATGGTTTCTCGTTTATCGATAAATGTAACAGGGTAAAGAGAAAATTCTGATGTACGTTAAACGAAGTGACTTAATGTACAGTTTTATAAAATATACGTACACGTATTTAAGTGATCTATAAATCATTATGTAAGGTATAAATTAATTTGCTTTGCACAATGTTTTAGCTAATGAAGAATAGGAGTTTAAAGATTTTCTGCTATAAAGCTGATAATATTTTTTGGAGCAGTAAATAAAAAATTGTATAATTAACACGTAGAATTATGTCATTTGGATACATTACACACCGTTATATTATCTTAAATTTGACGTATTAATTAATACCGATCTACGAAATTTTATCAAATGGCGACTGATAGGCAAAGGGTTAAAAATTCCAAAATAACAAGTAAATATGGATTCAAGAAAAATAAATAGCAGTGCGAAATTATGAATCCAAGAAATGCGCGATAATCAATCACTTGTGATATACATACTCACTTGTGAGAAATGAAAAGCTATTACTTTGTACGCGATAAATATTTAATATTAAAAATTATATAAATTATACTACGCTTATGAAAGTATTTCAACGCACAAAATTATCATTTATAGGATGTCCCGAAATTCACGTAAGAAATAATTTTGATAGAAAACACAGGTTTTTGATTAGAAATTGTAAATATTGCTCAACAATGTAGACGCATCGTTCTTTCATATCGCTTCATTTTTAATAACCCTGAACTGTCAGCTGTCACACAGCCTTTTTTCTCAGTGGCAACACTTTACAATACAGATAACATAAAATTCAAATCTTGTATGAATTTTTGGACACCGCTTATAAATCTGGGATTATTATTAGAACCTAAAAATGAAAAAGGAAATTAACCAAGAGTTACATTATCTCAGAGAACTTTTCAGTCAGGCATTCCCAGAGTGAAGAAAGTCGTTATTGACATCTGCAACTGCAAGTGCAACAATTTTAAATCAACACTAGAATTACCAGAAGCTGCGAGTACAAGTAGGAAAGTGATCCCAGATTACTTTTACCTGTAGCATAGTCGCATAAATTGAACAACAAAATCACTTCGCTCGAAGACACGTGATAAAGAAATACTGGAATAAAACAACTACACTTATTACGTGGAATAATTGTTAAGCAGAAGCATCACTTCGACGATATACACTTCCATCTCTCGACCTGAAAAACAAAAAACAATTAGCTACAAAATACCGGCAGAAAAAGACACGAAACATTCCATAATGCAGGTACTGGCACAACTAGCAATGAAGCATAATTACCTGAGCGAAAAAAGCAATGTTATCCTGGCAGTTTCGCAAGAAACCATTACATTTTCATAAAACAGTCCGCCTGATGCCCCATGCCGTATTTAACCTGACGATCCTTTTTTCAAGCGGTTTATTAGATTCCGAAGCGCGTTGAATCGCGAAAGGTTAAAGAAGGATGCTGTCCCGGTGAGTTGTGTGAGCTCTAACTTGTCCGCGACATGTTTGGACTGTGACCGTCACTTAAAGCTTAAACATGTGGTGCACGTGTCCCCCTTACAAAGCACGCCGTGCCACTGTCCCGTGGTACATTCCACCGATTCGAATCCCTAATCTTGCCTCGGGCTATTCAGAAGCTTCGCATACGTCAGGTACTTAAGGAGCCAGGCATTAGTGTAACGATCGTATGTAACGATATCGCATTGTACATTTTTTTTTTCATCCAACGAAGACGGCGCAGAGAGATAGCTATCGTGCTGTCTCGAACGTATTCGAGGTATCGCATTTTTTACGTAACACAGTATCGAACACGGAGTATCGCATTTTCCAAACGACGAGTTACAAACGTTACGATTGTTACAAAATTTATCGAAGACTGATACGCGACAAGGAAACGAAAACACTTTGTTCTATGAAATAAGTAGGCGTTTACTGAACGGTGATCTAATATTGAGATATCAGTGGAACTTATCTCTCGTCGCGTAATTAAGAAAGATTAATAGCTCGTGCATGGATATCTCGCGATAGCTAATAATTAGTAGCTTACAGCTGGCCGGATTAAGCCCCTCGCAGACAAGTTTCCGTAAATGTTCGAAATGTCACGCGCTTGTACGGAAATTTGCATAACTTTTGCTGCTGCAATCCGGCACGGTAATTAGCTCCTTATCAAATATTGCCTCACGCTTTCCTGGTCTTAATTTTTCCAGCCGCTTATAACGTGTACGAGCGGAAATTCGTAAATTAGTTAAAAATGTGAAAGCTGTGGCCTTTCCCCCGTGTCCGCGAATTCGGTGAGTCAAAGTGATTTGAACGACGGTATTAAAATATTCGACTATAATTTTGCCTCTTAAGTGGACGCAGTCGAGCGACATTAAGTTGTGTATAAATCAAGAATGATTAAACTAAAATCCTTTATTCATGAGGAAGTAATTCAAGACGTTTATGCGAACAGGGTAACTGCTGTAAACACTAGTCGAAAATGTCAAGGTAAGAATACTAATAGGCGACATGCAGAAAATAATTTTATGCGAAAACAATGCGAACCCCATTAATTTTCGCGCGATAATTATCGTTCCGTTTAATCGAATATTTTAATCACCCTTCGTTACCAAAACTTGCTGCTTTTATAAACTAAATTATACAGATTATAATATTAGAAATTTTTGCTACTCCTTAACGAATTTAAAAATTATTATTATCAATTATCGTTGTATCAGAATAAATGATTATTTCGAAAGACTGTACTATTAAATATTATTATACTAAAAAACCAAATATTTTCACAATTAAGTTTACTTAAAAGGTTCGGCTATCATTAGTTGTCATATTATAGCAATTACTTTTATGTAACATCCTGAATTCTATCCTACTTCGTTTATTATAATCGAAGTACCTTACTTTGCATAATTAGAATACTGTCGCTTTACATCGTCGTAAATTGCGGGATTGAAACCTTTCTAGAAAAAAGCGGTTTTCTCGCAAAGACCTTAACTTGATTTGTTTGCCTGCCTTCTTTTCAATGAGAAGCTTTACGAATGTAAAAAGCAACGAAGTAATAGGGAAGTTGAGCTTCTATATAATATTACCTTCCATGTTCCTGTTTCATCCAAGTAATTTCCCTAAAACACCATTAACGCTTTATTAATATATTTTTCAAAGTTTTTTAAATCTTTTAACACGTATACACGTATACCTCGTGTGTTGCATATTCCTCTTCAGAGACGCAGCTCGTTTTCTCTCACAAATTGTATCACGTTGTTATCAATGGCTCGTGACAGTTGGCGAAAGTGGCTCCTCCTAACCCCAAACGAACTGCACGTGAAAAATGAACGACCAATAAGAGAGATAGAAAAGTATCAGAAGTGTATGAGAAAATTAGCGTTTTCCTGTATTTAAATTATAATACGTCCTTTTTACTGGACAGAAAATTTCAGTTAAATCGCTTACCTTTCTCCCGGCGTGGAACGCATTAAGCTTCTATATTACTTTCCTTTCATCATGGCAGAGCGTTCAAACGTTGGAAGAAAGCGTTCCATAATATTTTGCTCCGGTATAACGGTTGGCCAGCCGCGTGAATCGTGGATCGTAAGCGTAAATGAAAATCCGTTTTCCACGGGGGGTATTGTTTGAGGGAGAGAAGACACTTTGGTGTTCCACGGTTGGAAGGGCCTTAACTCGATAAGTCCCCTCGGTACCTGAAGTGAGCTCATAATCGTGAACGAAGCGCGCAACCGCTTATTACAAGCGAGGGCATTGTAAATTTGCAGGGAAGGAGGCAGAAAGAGGCCGAAACGCGGTGAGGATAGGCAGAGAGCAGTTGGTAAGGTAGAGCGGGATGGAAAATAGAAAGGAGAGTGGTCGGGGGAGGCTAAGAGGAGTCGAAAGG